AGATATTCTCAGCTACCAGAGCAAATTTTAAATCTGCCCATTTTCACCCTGCTTTATTTTCCCAGTTGTACCACAGCATGATGCTACCTCCACCGTGCTTGGCTGTTGGTACAGCGTTCTTAGGTTTGAAAGTCCCGTTTTGACCGACCAGAAAACTTTTCTCCAGAAGGCATTTGTCTCAGCCGTCAAGAGATGCTGGGGTTCCAGCAGTTACTGGTTCCAGGCAGACCTGAGCCTCTATGAGACAAGCAAGAACTATCAAGTTGGGGCTTTTTATAAGTTTTTGACAGGGTATTAAATTAGCTTTGTCTGTATTGAATTATAATTTGTGACATCATATACAGATATTTAACTTAATTCAGTTAAAGAAAGAAAAATACAACCATCAACCAATAGACAAGAGGAAAGGCAGCTGCTAATTCTGATGGTAACTAAAGCTGTCTGCTTCACATTAATATATTTTAGTTTAATATTTATGATTGACGTCATGTTGAACAGTAAATTCTGTCTAAGGAACACCTGTCGGTGCACGTTGATTATAGGTTTTGTTTGTCAACCATTTTTTGAGAAGGTTTTCTTTTTTCAAAAAAGTTTGTGTCTAATAAAGAAAGTGAAGGAGCCCGCATGCTAGTTGCTAGCCTCTCCGATGCTAATCCCAGCTTATCCATGCTAGTCGCTACCCTCTCCTATGCTAACGCCAGCTTATCCATGCTAGTCACTAGCCTCTCCTATGCTAACGCCATCTTATCCATGCTAGTCGCTACCCTCTCCTATGCTAACGCCAGCTTATCCATGCTAGTCGCTAGCCTCACTAATGCTAATGCCAGCTTATCCATGCTAGTCGCTAGCCAAACTAATGCTAATGCCAGCTTATCCATGATAGTGGCTACCCTCTACTATGCTAATGCCAGCTTATCCATGCTAGTCACCACCCTCTCCTATGCTAACGCCAGGTTTTCCATGCTAGTCACTAGCCTCTCCTATGCTAACGCCATCTTATCCATGCTAGTCACCACCCTTTCCTATGCTAACGCCAGGTTTTCCATGCTAGTCACTAGCCTCTCCTATGCTAACGCCATCTTATCCATGCTAGTCACTAGCCTCTCCTATGCTAAC